TATAGTCTAGTCTATAGTCTAGTCTATAGTCTAGTCTATAGTCTAGTCTATAGTCTAGTCTATAGTCTAGTCTATAGTCTAGTCTATAGTCTAGTCTATAGTCTAGTCTATAGTCTAGTCTATAGTCTAGTCTATAGTCTAGTCTATAGTCTAGTCTATAGTCTAGTCTATAGTCTAGTCTATAGTCTAGTCTATAGTCTAGTCTATAGTCTAGTCTATAGTCTAGTCTATAGTCTAGTCTATAGTCTAGTCTATAGTCTAGTCTATAGTCTAGTCTATAGTCTAGTCTATAGTCTAGTCTATAGTCTAGTCTATAGTCTAGTCTATAGTATAGTCTATAGTCTAGTCTATAGTCTAGTCTATAGTCTAGTCTATAGTCTAGTCTATAGTCTAGTCTAGTCTAGTCTATAGTCTAGTCTATAGTCTAGTCTATAGTCTAGTCTATAGTCTAGTCTATAGTCTAGTTTATAGTCTAGTCTATAGTCTAGTTTATAGTCTAGTCTATAGTCTAGTCTATAGTCTAGTCTATAGTCTAGTTTATAGTCTAGTCTATAGTCTAGTCTATAGTCTAGTCTATAGTCTAGTCTATAGTCTAGTCTATAGTCTAGTCTGTAGTCTAGTCTAAAGTCTAGTCTATAGTCCAGTCTATAGTCTAGTCTATAGTCTGTAATCTAGTCTATAGTCTAGTCTATAGTCTAGTCTATAGTCTAGTCTATAGTCTAGTCTATAGTCTAGTCTATAGTCTAGTCTATAGTCTAGTCTATAGTCCAGTCTATAGTCCAGTCTATAGTCTAGTCTATAGTCTAGTCTGTAGTCTAGTCTATAGTCTAGTCTAAAGTCTAGTCTATAGTCCAGTCTATAGTCTAGTCTATAGTCTAGTCTATAGTCTAGTCTGTAGTCTAGTCTATAGTCTAGTCTATAGTCTAGTCTATAGTCTAGTCTATAGTCTAGTCTATAGTCTAGTCTATAGTCTAGTCTATAGTCTAGTCTATAGTCTAGTCTATAGTCTAGTCTATAGTCTAGTCTATAGTCTAGACTATAGTCTAGACTATAGTCTAGTCTATAGTCTAGTCTGTAGTCTAGTCTATAGTCTAGTCTGTAGTCTAGTCTATAGTCTAGTCTATAGTCTAGACTATAGTCAAACTATAGTCTAGTCTATAGTCTAGTCTATAGTCTAGTCTATAGTCTAGTCTATAGTCTAGTCTATAGCCTAGTCTATAGTCTAGTCTATAGTCTTGTCTATAGTCTAGTCTAAAGTCTAGTCTATAGTCTAGTCTATAGTCTAGTCTATAGTCTAGTTTATAGTCTAGTCTATAGTCTAGTCTATAGTCTAGTCTAAAGTCTAGTCTAAAGTCTAGTCTATATTCTTGTCTATAGTCTAGTCTATAGTTTAGTCTAGTCTATATTCTTGTCTATAGTCTAGTCTATAGTCTAGTCTATAGTCTAGTCTATAGTCTAGTCTATAGTCTAGTCTATAGTCTAGTCTATAGTCTAGTCTATAGTCTAGTCTATAGTCTAGTCTATAGTCTAGTCTGTAGTCTAGTCTATAGTCTAGTCTATAGTCTAGTCTATAGTCTAGTCTATAGTCTAGTCTATAGTCTTGTCTATAGTCTAGTCTATAGTCTTGTGCATAGTCTAGTCTATAGTTTAGTTTGTAGTCTAATCTATAGTCTAGTCTAAAGTAAAGTCTATAGTCTAGTCTATAGTCTAGTTTATAGTCTAGTCTATAGTCTAGTTTATAGTCTAGTCTATAGTCTAGTCTATAGTCTAGTCTATAGTCTAGTCTATAGTCTAGTCTATAGTCTGCTCTATAGTCTAGTCTATAGTCTGCTCTATAGTCTAGTCTATAGTCTGCTCTATAGTCTAGTCTATAGTCTAGTCTATGGTTTAGTCTATAGTCTAGTCTATAGTCTAGTCTATAGTCTAGTCTATAGTCTAGTCTATAGTCTAGTCTATAGTCTAGTCTATAGTCTAGTCTATAGTCTAGTCTATAGTCTAGTCTATAGTCTAGTCTATAGTCTTGTCTATAGTGTAGTCTATAGTCTAGTCTATATTCTTGTGTATAGTCGAGTCTATAGTCCAGTCTATAGTCTAGTCTAGTCTAGTCTATAGTCCAGTCTATAGTCTAGTATAGTCTAGTCTATAGTCTAGTCTATAGTCTAGTCTATAGTCTAGTCTATAGTCTAGTCTATAGTCTAGTCTATAGTCTAGTCTATAGTCTAGTCTATAGTCTAGTCTATAGTCTAGTCTAGTCCTATAGTCTAGTCTATAGTCTAGTCTATAGTCTAGTCTATAGTCTAGTCTATAGTCCTAGTCTATAGTCCTAGTCTATAGTCTAGTCTATAGTCTAGTCTATAGTCTAGTCTATAGTCTAGTCTATAGTCTAGTCTATAGTCTAGTCTATAGTCTAGTCTATAGTCTAGTCCTATAGTCTAGTCTATAGTCTAGTCTATAGTCTAGTCTATAGTCTAGTCTATAGTCTAGTCTATAGTCTAGTCTATAGTCTAGTCTATAGTCTAGTCTATAGTCTAGTCTATAGTCTAGTCTATAGTCTAGTCTATAGTCTAGTCTATAGTCTAGTCTATAGTCTAGTCTATAGTCTAGTCTATAGTCTAGTCTATAGTATAGTCTATAGTCTAGTCTATAGTCTAGTCTATAGTCTAGTCTATAGTCTAGTCTATAGTCTAGTCTATAGTCTAGTCTATAGTCTAGTCTATAGTCCTAGTCTATAGTCTAGTCTATAGTCTAGTTTAGTCTAGTCTATAGTCTGTCTATAGTCTAGTCTATAGTCTAGTCTATAGTCTAGTCTATAGTCTAGTTTATAGTCTAGTCTATAGTCTAGTCTATAGTCTAGTCTATAGTCTAGTCTATAGTCTAGTCTATAGTCTAGTCTATAGTCTAGTCTGTAGTCTAGTCTAAAGTCTAGTCTATAGTCCAGTCTATAGTCTAGTCTATAGTCTAGTCTGTAATCTAGTCTATAGTCTAGTCTATAGTCTAGTCTATAGTCTAGTCTATAGTCTAGTCTATAGTCTAGTTTATAGTCTAGTCTATAGTCTAGTCTATAGTCTAGTCTATAGTCTAGTCTATAGTCCAGTCTATAGTCCAGTCTATAGTCTAGTCTATAGTCTAGTCTGTAGTCTAGTCTATAGTCTAGTCTAAAGTCTAGTCTATAGTCCAGTCTATAGTCTAGTCTATAGTCTAGTCTATAGTCTAGTCTGTAGTCTAGTCTATAGTCTAGTCTATAGTCTAGTCTATAGTCTAGTCTATAGTCTAGTCTAGTCTAGTCTATAGTCTAGTCTATAGTCTAGTCTATAGTCTAGTCTATAGTCTAGTCTATAGTCTAGTCTATAGTCTAGACTATAGTCTAGACTATAGTCTAGTCTATAGTCTAGTCTGTAGTCTAGTCTATAGTCTAGTCTGTAGTCTAGTCTATAGTCTAGTCTATAGTCTAGACTATAGTCTAGACTATAGTCTAGTCTATAGTCTAGTCTATAGTCTAGTCTATAGTCTAGTCTATAGTCTAGTCTATAGCCTAGTCTATAGTCTAGTCTATAGTCTTGTCTATAGTCTAGTCTAAAGTCTAGTCTATAGTCTAGTCTATAGTCTAGTCTATAGTCTAGTTTATAGTCTAGTCTATAGTCTAGTCTATAGTCTAGTCTAAAGTCTAGTCTAAAGTCTAGTCTATATTCTTGTCTATAGTCTAGTCTATAGTTTAGTCTAGTCTATATTCTTGTCTATAGTCTAGTCTATAGTCTAGTCTATAGTCTAGTCTATAGTCTAGTCTATAGTCTAGTCTATAGTCTAGTCTATAGTCTAGTCTATAGTCTAGTCTGTAGTCTAGTCTATAGTCTAGTCTATAGTCTAGTCTATAGTCTAGTCTATAGTCTAGTCTATAGTCTTGTCTATAGTCTAGTCTATAGTCTTGTGCATAGTCTAGTCTATAGTTTAGTTTGTAGTCTAATCTATAGTCTAGTCTAAAGTAAAGTCTATAGTCTAGTCTATAGTCTAGTTTATAGTCTAGTCTATAGTCTAGTTTATAGTCTAGTCTATAGTCTAGTCTATAGTCTAGTCTATAGTCTAGTCTATAGTCTGCTCTATAGTCCAGTCTATAGCTAGTATAGTCTAGTCTATAGTCTAGTCTATAGTCTAGTCTATAGTCTAGTCTATAGTCTAGTCTATAGTCTAGTCTATAGTCTAGTCTATAGTCTAGTCTATAGTCTAGTCTATAGTCTAGTCTATAGTCTAGTCTATAGTTAGTCTATAGTCTAGTCTATAGTCTAGTCTATAGTCTAGTCTATAGTCTAGTCTATAGTCTAGTCTATAGTCTAGTCTATAGTCTAGTCTATAGTCTAGTCTATAGTCTAGTCTATAGTCTAGTCTATAGTCTAGTCTATAGTCTAGTCTATAGTCTAGTCTATAGTAGTCTAGTCTAGTCTATAGTCTAGTCTATAGTCTAGGCTATTGTCTAATTAGTCATTCTAGTCTAGGCTATAGTCTAGCTTATAGTCTAGTCTATAGTCTAGTCTACAGTCTAGTTTATAGTCTAGTCTATAGTCTAGTCTATAGTCTAGTCTATAGTCTAGTCTATAATCTAGTCTATAGTCTAGTCTATAGTCTAGTCTATAGTCTAGTCTACAGTCTAGTTTATAGTCTAGTCTATAGTTTAGTCTATAGTCTTGTGTATAGTCGAGTCTATAGTTTAGTTTGTAGTCTAATCTATAGTCTAGTCTATAGTCCAGTCTATAGTCCAGTCTATAGTCTAGTCTATAGTCTAGTCTAGTCTATAGTCTAGTATATAGTCTAGTCTATATTCTAGTCTATAGTCTAGTCTGTAGTCTAGTCTATAGTCTAGTCTATAGTCTAGTCTATAGTCTAGTCTAGTCTGCATTTTCCATGCCTTCACCTTTATATCTTTCAATCGTATATTTACACAAATTTATAAATAATTTGAAAACATATAATAAAACTAATTCACATTTGTTCTTTTTTTCTATTTATAGGATAAAGTTAAAGATGTCTTCGATGCAGCCATTTGGGAAGGCTTAGCTCCAACCACCTTGCCCCCTACTCCCATACCATTTTGGAAGAAACTTTTCTGTTTAGCCTAAATAAAAACAATAACCACATATTATAATTCCAATCCAGCGACATCTCATGTAAAAACGCAAAAAATCTTAATTATTTTTATAGACTGATTAATGTTATACAAAACAAAATTTATAAAATTGTATTAATACAAACATATTTTTACTTTAACTTTGTTTAATTGTTCGTTCTATTAGAGCACTTTGCTTACAAAATTTAAATGTTTCATTATTAAGTTTGCAAACAAATTATTTTCTCATAACTGTTTTTCGCCAATGTTAAGTTTTGGTCAAATTATTTTTATTACAAAATACATTTTTATTACTTAATTATTGATATACATAAGTTACTTGTTTTTCATCACAATTTAACAAATTTTTTAAGCATAAATGCAAAATTTATAAAAAATTTAATTATTTCTCATTAATTAAACAATTCTATAATTCTTATTAGATTGTTATCTTAGTATATTTTCCTAATTTTAAGTTAAAACTTACATACATATGTAAATAAGCATATCAACACTTTATTAAAGTGTTTAAAATGAATTGATTAAAAATAAAAACAAAGAAAAATACATTTTAAGAATAAGTATAAAATTGTTCATTCCATCCACACACGAAAAATTTGTTAACTATTAAGTTTTATGATTGAATAAACAAAAACATTTATAAATAATAACGAGATAAAAATATGTTTAATTTAACGGTCTAACCAAATTTAATTTAAATACAAAACACCCTGTAAGATTGTAATAAACGCCTAAAAAACAAGGCATATTCTAAGGCGGCAAAAATTTAAAAGTTTACATACAGTTCCCAAAAAACTTTTGTTTAAAGTTTAATAACTTTTTAATTGCACCAGCTATAGCTATAATTTCAAAACCTGTAGGTAGGCTGGAATATAAGCTTTCCAAATATATATAAATACATTAGCTCGCATTATTCTTTACCCAACAATTTTAATTTAAACTAAACAAAACGCTTACTCCAAAATTGGTAAGCGTTTTGTAAATTTATTAATGGCAAACGAAGCTTCAATTTCTTATTAATAGCTATGCGAAATTTCATTCAAAACGTTTTAGAAATAATAAAAATATTCAAATTTAAAGAAAATACTCTGACAACCAAAAATTTCACAAAATTTCCTTCCAAAAATGTAATCGTACTTTTTTTTGTCAACTACTAGGCCAACAGAATCTAATAGTAGGTGAATTTTGATGGACAGTTTTCTTTTTAATTGAATATCTTGATAACTACTGAAGATATTGTAACGAAATATGAGTCAAATTTTAGCTTTGGTATTGGACTATACGATGATGCTATTTTTTAACGCTTATCAAAAACGGGAGCGTGTGATTTAACCAAAATTGTATAAAAACGATTCAAAATTGGAAAGTAGTAATGATTTTGAATATTTTTCCTGTACAGGAAAATTCCTCTTATTATATTCTCTTCGTATACTAAATTTCAGCTTCATAGCTCAAACAGCATAAAAGTTATAGCACTGTAAAATGTGTCTTCGGGAGCGTTTTACAACACAATTATGGCATATTTTGCTATAAGTTTAAAACTTAATAACTTTAAAACTACAGGTGCTATCAGAATGAGACAAATGTCATTTTACAGAATGGAAATTTGTCTATGTGATGCAACCATAATTTGCTTATTATATTAATCGGTAGTGCAGGCTTTCTAAACAAAAGTCTTTCAAAACGCTTATCGACCGAAATTTACAAATGTTTTAAAACGTTTAGTATAGCCTTGAATAGTAGAGAATATTTTCAAGCCGTATGCAAAATTTCAGTTCACTATCTTTAAAAATGAAGAAGTTATACGCATTGAAAACTTAAAGTGTTTCTTTGAGTTAAAGCTTAATAATGGTATAGCTAACTATGGCTTTACAGTTTAATAACTCAAAAACAAGAGAAGCTATTTGAATAAGACAGGTGTCATTTTGTAGAATGGAAATTCCTCTATGTAATGCAACCATAATTTGCAAATTAGATTAATGATAAGTATATGCTTTCTGAACAATAATCTTTGAAAACGCTTATAAAGGAAAATGTATAAGCGTTTTAAAATTTTAACCCAGCATTGTATAGTACAAAATTTTTCCTCGTCGTATGCCAAATTTCAGAACTATGGGTTACGAAATGTCGAAGTTATTGCAAAATTATATCAAGAGTTGTGAAACCGAAAAATGTTGAAAAATATTTTTTCCTTTTTTTGTCAAGTACTAGGCCAACAGAATCAAATAGTAGGTGAATTTTGCTGGACAGTTTTCTTTTTAATTGAATATCTCGATAACTACTGAAGATATTGTAACGAAATATGAGTCAAATTTTAGCTTTGCTATTGGACTATACGATGATAAAACTTTGTTGACGCTTATCAAAATTGGAAGCGTGTGATTTAACCAAAATTATATTAAAACGCTTCAAAATTGGAAAGTAGTAATGATTTTAATTTTTTTTCTGTACAGGAAAAATTCCTGCATTATACACTCTTCGTATACTAAATTTCAACTTCATAGCTCAAACAACATTAAAGTTATAGCACTGTAAAATGTGTGTTCGGGAGCGTTTTACAACATAATTATGGCATATTTTGCTATAAGTTTAAAACTTAATAACTTTAAAACTACAGATGCTATCGGAATGAGACAAATGTCATTATGCAGAGTGGAAATTTCTTTATGTGATGCAAGTATAATTAAAGAATTAGATTAATCGCAAGTGTAGCTTACTAAACAAAGGTCTTTCAAAACGCTTATGGACCGAAGTTTACAAATATTTTAAAACGTTTGGTATAGCCTTGCATAGTAGAGAATATTTCCAAGGTGTATGCAAAATTTCAGTTCACTATCTTAAAAAATGTAGATGTTATACGCATTGAAAACTTAAAGTGATTCTTCGAGTTAAAGCTTAATAATGGTATACTTAACTATGACTATAAAAATTAATAACTTAAAAACTAGAGAAGATATTTGAATAAAATAAGTGTCATTTTATAGAATGGAATATCCTCTATGTAATGATAAGTATATGCTTTCTGATCAATAATCTTTGAAAACGCTTCTAAAGGAAAACGTATAAGCGTTTTCAAAAATCTCAATCTAAACTTAAGCGTTTTAGAACGTTTGACACAGAATTTCACAGAATAATATGATTTACAACGTTCAAGTTCAAATCCATTAGATTCAGTTCTAATATTATTTTAAATCAAAAAATTATCATGTTTCGCATGTAACTAATTTATATAATAATTCTTTTACACAATTGGATAATCTTAAATTTTTGGCTTATTACTGGGCTTCGCTGTGTTAAAATATGAAAAATAAGATGCATATTTCTAAGGTAAAAGGCAATATCTAACAAGCTTTAAATCTAAGGTTTTAAATACAATTTTAAAAGATATTTGAGTGAAGTTGAAAAATAATTATTTTGGTACACGTTTTTCACTAAACCTTTACGCCTCTCTATAAAATTTGTATATATTTTCTGAGAAATACAATAAAGTTAAATTAATATTTTCATTTCCAGGAAATGAAAGCAATCTACTTAGGTAATTAAAACCCCAGAATTGACGTTTGTACATAAACCTTAAAAACAACAGAAAAAAGTTTAATGGGATTAAATCTTTGTCGTTCGAAAAAAATGCTGAAATTCCTATTAAAAGTTTAGCTAATTTATTTGTATTTATTAAAAGAAAAAATTAATTCCTTACCTCAAGTTGTAGACAACATAACACATCCTAAAAACATTACTATCTTTTTGTTTAATGTTACTAAGAAAATATTATAGCAACCAAATGTATTTTATATCATTTCATAATATTTTAAATTTTTTTGTATTCTTCTTAAAGTAGACAAATATAATTGAATTATAACAATTTTACAACTTGTTTTAAAGTAGTTTATTTCAATGAAACTTAAATATAATTTTCTATATAACAAACATTATTTAAGCCAAATGTTGTGTTACATTCTTGAAATTTCATAAGAAAAAGTTTAACAAAATAAGTTTTAATAGAAAAAAAAAAACATAATAATAATGAAAACTTTAAACACAAAGTTTCTTAAACTAAATAAGTTAAACACTTTGTTTTTGCTGTTCTGTTGTCTTAAGTATGTATAACGATTGTTATTTTATATTTTCATCAAAGTTTAAATATTTTATAAGCCATGTTAAAACAATTTACAAAATGATAGACAGACAAACTGATATTATTACAAACTAGCATATATGTATACTAGGATGGCTCCAAAATAGAATTAGCTGATGTTCGCAATTAAAATGAAAACTTTATTGAATCTAAGTGCACGTTTCTCAAAATGTCCTTTGTTTCCTTTTTGGCTGTTTTGTGACTTTTTTTCATATAAACCATATACAATTTCGGTATCATATGAAAAGAGTTTGAAAGAGGCTTTGATTGATTGAAATGTATAACATTTTCGAAATTTTTCTTTATTTAAAATTTTTGCGTTGAAATATTTAACGTAATTAGTTGAAATTAATGCATTATAAAACTCAGATATTTCCATATAAACGGTTTTTTCCGTTTTTTGAAATTCAACCTCTTGATTTTTCGAAACCAATGCGTATACCAATTCATATGTCAAAAATGTATATATAAAATGAACTTAATTTAAACTTAACATTGTAGACTTCCATTCTCAAGCCACCCTAATGTACACGTGTTTTAATGTAACAACATTATAGTACAGTGAATGATTTGTAAGAGTATGTGTAAAGAAAATTTAAGGTTGAAATACAAATCGTTTAAAATCAGAAATATTTACACTACAGTCTACAACTTATAAACAATTGCTTAAAAATCAATCATAGGACAGGCTAAGGGAAATGGTGAACGGATATTGCAAATCTATATATATAAAAGAGTAGCGTTACTGACTGAATGATTCATCATCGCACAGCCCAAACGGCTGAACCTAGAATCATGAAATTTTGACAGTAGATGTGTTTTTGGTTGTGTACATTCAGGTTTTCTTAATTATCTTACACAATATTAGTGATACAAGAAAAATTTTAAATGCACCTGTATCTACTCTTAAAATGAACAGATGGGTGTCTGGCACTTTTTTGAAATTCGTACTTTTAAGGGGTGAAAATGTGTACCAAAGGTGATTTTAGTACCTTTTCTGGCACTTTATAACTTTTTAATCAATAAACTTAATAACATTTTTGTAAATATTTTGGATATATCTTCCAAAATTATGAGACACCTGTTTCGTACATTTTTCAAATTTAGTCCTTTTTGAGTGTAAAAGGGAGAAAACTGTATTTTTGGTACTTTTTTAGCGCACTACGAAAACTTTTTCGACTTATTGACGTAAACCTATTAAATTACGTACTAACTCTGTAATATGTATTGATATAAAATCAATAAACTTAATAGGGAAAAAGTACCAAAAAGGGGAAAAACGGGAAATTTTATTTATTCAAACTAATTGAGCCAATTTTTATAAAATTAAAAAAAATAGTTTATTTGCACACACAAAATAAGCTATTGGTATATTATTTTGGAATTCGGGTACTAAGGTCTATATAGGACCAAATTCGGGTAAATTTTTTGGTACTTTTTGAAAGCACTATTTTTCTGGACGAAATGAATGCAGATTTGAATCGTTTGATTTTTATCTGTGATATATAGATTTAAAT